CTTAATCTTTCTGGAACGCAGCACCAAAAAATATATTTCTGTCAAGAAAAAGAAGTACAGTGACTTAGCAGAAAATATGTGCACTCTTCTGGTTGAAGATGAAAGCTATTTTAAGACTACATAAAAAACCATGCAGTTTCTATGTTCCATGGAAAAGCTGTCTGATGAATCTTGTACCTATTTTCAATGGGCCACATTTAAAAAATGGGTAAGAATTTTAGATTTAGAGAATCAGAGATGATTCACAGGACAATACATTCCCATCCTTAAAGCAAATGAAGGAATTCACTTACAATAGCTTAATCATATTATATCCCCCCATCCTTGATTTCACTTTCTGTGTATATCCGTTGTTCAGAGACAAACTACACTGAAAGGGATAGACACCCTTTAGCTCTTAGTCTGGAGGCTCTGAAAGAAGACCAAAGCTTGCTGAGGGGAAAGTTGCATAATATGACTTTAAAATTTATCACTTTATTTACTTTGAAGGGCTTAAAAAAATAGGCAAAGCTCTACTTTGACATTCACAGAAAAATCTTTCCTCTTGCCCAAGTCCACATAAATCAGGATTATTGTCTGCAGACATATACTTTACTCCAGATCAATGCCAACAAGTCCTATGGAGCCATTCCTGATATGCTGTATGAACACAAACCCACTTATGTTAGATGGAGTCCTTATTTGGATGGGTTTTGAATCAGATGACGAATAAGAATAAAATTCATAATTTGATATTTCTTTCTTGGAAGAGCTGGACTGTTGTACCATGTCTGGCTCCAGCTATTTCTCCCTATTCACTTGAAAACTACATACAGAACTGCTTCCTTGAGGAAAATTAAATACTGAATTGCCCAAGCACAGGTTTGGTTGAATTTCCAAAAGCAGAGGGTGCTTAGCATTCCCCCTAATGTTTTAGTATAGACACATTTGACTGACTTTAGCCTCTCTAACTTAAATTGTGTGGCAATTTTCCCAGGAGAGCAAAAGCAAAATATAATTCATGCATTCCAGAACCCATATATATTTAGTTTTCACATTAGGAATAAATCCTAGAGTAACACCAGGACTGAGATGGGAGTTGAGGACATTCAGCAGAGCTGGAGTAATATAATTTGGAATTTTCTCTGAGCTGGAATGCACTCAAAATTAATTATCAACCATTTGTACTAAGCAGAGAGAGTGTAGCAGTGTACTTAATGGAATGATTAAAGCATGCATTATACAGTAGGAACAAAAAGATACAGACAGTAAAAAACATTTCACTCCTCAATTTACCATACTTCCTCTTCAACTTCAAGGTGATTTAAGGACATGACAAATATTGCAAATTGCTAATATTCTTTGAAAATTCTACGGGAACCCCAAATTTATAATGCTAGGTCTTTAGCTCTGTGAAAGTGGAGTTTTATGCTTCCCTAGGGTCTGTTCAGGAAGGGATGCATGTGCTGCTCTTGATTTCAGTCCTGTCCATGCCCTGGACTGAGAATGGGGAAAAGAGCTTTTAGGCATCCACAGTTGGTCTGTGGTAAGCAGAGCTTCAGAAATACACTGGGGGATACCTCAGCAACCCAGTGAAAATGCAAGGGGTGATGCAGGAGCTCAAGTTGTTTAGATGTGGAAATTCTTGAGGACATGGGGAGACCCATTGCAAAATATTTGGTGTTTCTCATATTTCTGAGTGGTCATCTTCAAAGGTCAGCCCTGTTCTCCATTAGCAAACAAGGAAGATTATTGTTAACAAGCTGACAATAATTTGAGAGGTATAATGTAAATTACAATAGCTGTTCAGAGTAGGTAGAAAATGTTTTTATTATTCTTTGGACCAGGTGATTTGAATGATGGGTAGAGAGAATCTCTAAGGTTTGTAAAATCCCAAACATATTTAATCGAGCAAACCTTTACAGGTAACAGACTACCATTTCATTTCCATTTCTATTTTGAATTTTACAGTCTTCCAGGAGACAGTCATGCAAGGACAGCAGTTCAGGCAAAGACTGTGTGGTGCCACACAGATGGAAGAGAGCACCCACATGTTATAACTTGCAGGGTGTGTTTTAAGAGAAGTGCAGAGAAGCCTGACAGTTTTCTCATCTGTACTAAAGCCTTAACAACAGCAGGTCAGTACTAGAGTATTAGTTAGGGAGTATCAGTAAAAGGGAAATAAACTTATTCTGCAAATAATTACTATAGACTAATGACACCCTAAATACCTCATGGCCTTAACTGAAATCAAGCACTGTATTTGAGTTCCTAAATTAGCAGTCTAATGTCTCCTTGTTAAAGGAAAAACAGTTATCCAGAAGATGACTCAGGTATTACTGGAGATATCTGTATGTTCCTATTTATTGTAAAAGATGTCAAGACTAGATCTGTAATAGATGAATCCTGTTCATGACCAGTGCTAGTTGTGGGATCATAACATAACCTTTATTGTCTCTCTAACATCCTGTCTGTGTTACCATCTCTTACAAATTCACTAGGAAACATAATGTAACAAAATGCAAAAGTTCCAGTGATGCACTGAGTGCATTTTTTCCTTTGGTATCATTGTGCAATGCAGAGTTTATAAAGTTCACAATTTAATAAATACACTGCATTTTAATCTCTCCATGTAGATTCCAGAGAAAACTAGTATAATTTCTGCATAAAATTTGTATGAGAAGTATTTTCCCCACAGAAATAGTACCTTTCCCGTCATAAATGGATCTCGATAAATTACTCTGTAAATCAAAATTAGCATGGTATATATTTGCCTATAGTAAAGGCTATGAGTATTTAAATGATCACATATAATAGGGACTGATTTTGCACAGCAGAAAAACCCCAAACAAAAACACCAACCTAACAAAAAGCCTCAATTTAAGCAAAAAACCAAACAATTCCTCTCTCCCTTAATTGAATCAAGTGTTAATAGAGCTCAGGCAGCAGGTAAGAGGGGGACTATACATTCTCAAAGACAGTGTTCACAGCAAATTAATTACACCTTTTTTTTCAGAACTGCTTTCTCCTTTGTGTTTATGAATATGTGTTAATTTAGATTTTGTTGCTTCATATCTGCAGAAAAGCTGAGGAATTCCAGCGTAGGCACTGCACTAATTTAAGAACTGAATTTTGTTTTCTCTCCATCTGATATCACAATGCAGGCACAAAGTGCCATAAAGAAACACTTTCTAAAATCAATCCATACCTAGTAGTTAATTCTGAATAGTCCAATTTAATCCCAGATCTGTGTCTCAATTCAAAAAGCGGTAATTGATAAGTACAAAAAAATACCCAGCTGAATGGAAGCAGCACATTTTATAGAACTTTCTCAAGAAATGGGAAGTTGCCCAAAGCCTGCAGTGCCAAAGTCAGCTTTTAATTATGTTACTATAAATTAAAACTAATTACGCCTTGTTGGAGTAGAATCATCTTCAATTTGTGTTGTAAATGAAATAAACCCCATCTCACTACGGTACAGCAGGGCAAAAAACAAATGTGCATAAACTGATTTCTGTAGTTTTGCCAGTCATTGGGAGAGCTATTACTTTGGCCCATACTTGGAAAACGTGAAATAAATATTGAAATCGTTGGCTCACTGCAACCTCTTTGCTAACAGTTTTGTTCTGTTTAAAAATTCTGATTTGGCTTGATTTTTTTCCTTAGTAACAATATCAGGCAGGCAGTTCTTAAAAGCTTCAAGATTCTGAGCTGCTAAAATATGCAGCAATAGTTCATGACAAGGTTTCCTTCACTGTGAAAGATTTTACAACATCCATATCTAAGGACACTGGGTGCTGCTACAGGAAAAACGCCATGCCTTTCTGTTCCAACTTTGGTTTTTTTCATCAAGGGAAGATAAAAAGTAGAAAAATAAACCCAGAAAACTAAATTTAGTCACATAAGATGAAAGACACCCAGCCTCTCTAGAGATCTGGGCCAGTGTGTGCTTGTGAAAAACAGTGTCACAACAGCATCAAACCCATTCACTACTCCAAGCGCTGGGCTCCTACGGTCAAGCTGAGGACAGCTCTTGTTCCCCAGGCCTCTGAAGCTAAATAACAAAGTGAGACAAGCAGGTGAATGAATGAGAGCCAGAGAGATCTTTTTAAGGGTGTGATAAAAGTACAGAATGACACATGCTACAGCTTGCTCTTTGTCTAATCTTTGGCATGGAGAGACGTGATCTCCAGCCTTCATAGCAGGCAGTGTTCTGTATCCCTTCCAACCCCAAGGGATTCTGTGGTTTCAGTTCACTAAATCTTTAACATTCTTCCCTTAAAAAAAATAATCAAGGACTTGCAGGTTTTTTTCAGAACTCTTCTCTGTCTTATTATGACAAGTCTAAGGATTACAGATCACTTAACTACGTTTAGGTAGAAGAGGAGAAAAATACCTTTTCTAAATTATTTTCTTAGCAAATGTATTATAGAAAATAAAATTTGGAATAGCAAAGGCATGGCCTTAAGATTGTTTTGCCATGAAGTCTAACAAGGGACCATGGAGAGAACAATCAGTTGTATATCAGTATATCACAGACTCAGTCTCCTCAGGTTGTCACTGACCTCCAGTCTTTTCACTCGCTAATACCTGATATCCTAACTTGTTGTGGGTTTATGACCCAAAACAGCAAATGCTGATCAGAGCAGACAGTTCTTTGCTGCTGCTGGTTTTTTGTTGTCTTTTTAGGCCAGCCGGTAGTGCATGTGTGAGAAGTACCAAGAATTAATTAATTGTGGCCTCCTTAAACAAGTTGTCCACAATTCTGTTGTGATAGTAGTACAGTCATGCTCCTCTTGTTATGGGGCCCGATCATAAAAGATCCTTCCTTCCTCTCCACTAATACTGAGTAATCACTGTTAATCTACAAAGCTGTATAGGGAAACATTTGGATGCAGCATAGCAAGGAATATAAAATATTTTAGAAAGAAGAAAATCATGCATTTGTCACTGAATCATGCATGTTAGGATAGATAACATTATATTTTTTTTGGAAAGTAAAACATTATTTTTGTACCCACAACAAAACATGGACCTGCAGAACTTTTCAAGCAGTCTTCTAACAGCTTCATACGAGTCTTTTGCAGCTCTGGACTGTCCCACTCATCTGCTTCAACTCCCCAGTATAAGTCTATGACCTGGAAAATAGTATGCAACATAGTTACTTATCATATGCTCTTGCTACTGATCAAATTAAAAATTAGCTTTGTCAACATTCCATACCCTGCTAAGCATTCCTTTGCAGTGCAGTAAAAACCAATGAGGTCTATATCCAGTCCTTACACAGACTGGCAGGGTTTTCTCAGGTTAATGACAATTCAAGCCTCTCACTTTCCCTCCCAGATAGTCCCTCCTGGGACAGTGTCTCATTTAATAGTCATATTTTTGTGCAAAGATTAGCATGAGGAGATCTTGATTTGATGTAGTTTTTATTTGCTACTAGATTGCATATAACGGGTAGGCAAGAATAATGACAAAAACATTGAAAAAAATCCTAGCTCCATGAAAATTAATGGGAGTTTCATTGTGGATCACAGTCAAGACCATGACTTGACACCCTGTGTCACTTGTATCCACAGGATACAAACTCATCCTGTGCATGTGGCTCGAAAAAAATAATAGGTATTGTTCTATAATATTATACTTCCTTTGTTAGTTGATCCTTGTACTTTGAAAGAGCAGAGATTGTATAAATATAAAGTGGTAGACAGATTGCTGTCCAGACTTTTGTCTGTAGCTACTGACTCAGTTTTCTGATGCTAATTAGTTGGAAACAAACTCCTGGGAGAAATTGGAATATGGATGCTAAATTTATTTGAAGAAATTAAGTGATGAAATGTGATTTCACTACACATTTTAACTAAAAGGCTGAATTTTCACTCAGGGAAATCGAATTTAAAAGAATAGGGATCATATGTCTGAGTTTCTTTTGGTACAAAAGTTATGGCACGTGCTACTGCTCTTTTCATTTAAGCTACTATTGGTTCTTAACATCTTGTATATAACTTGAACAAACACAATGAAGTCCAAATGGACAGTTTAAAAAAGCAATCAAAATTGTATTAAGACATGAATATATTACAATATTATTTATTGCCATATTGATTGTACTGTGGAAGCACTCTGATGCTTCTATAAGTAACAGAATGATAAAACTAGCTGTTGTCTACACAGATTATAACATCAGCATGAAGACCTAATATAAGAACGAATAATGAGTTGATGTAAAAGTAATATTCATCAGTTTCAAGCTGGTTAATCTTCTTAGAATTACACCAATAAATACCAAGTTTTAAGACCAAATCCTACACCTATTTATGCCTATGCATAATTTCACTGTCAACTGTCTCACTGGTTATTTCTGCCAGAAAAGTTTGGGATGCTCCTCAGTGTTTGCTGGAGCAGACACATTGTTGCTAAACACAAGAGGTAGTGTCTTGTGTGACTGATGATGAGTGAAAAAATCCAAGGTATGGAATGCATTGTAGCTTACACTGCCAAGAAAATACACTCGATATCTTTATCTTTTACAGAAACTGTGTTCCAAAATTTTGCTGGAACATGCATTTTCTATGGTACAAAACTGCATTTCAAACAGCCTTCCCCTCATTTGCACTGATTTCTTTTTCTTTCTCTTTCAGTCTCATTAGGAAAAATATGTTCCTTTCCTCCTCTTTCCTTTCTGTAATTTATCAATAAAACTTTATTATTGACCTTCACATTGAATTCATCTGTCTGATTAATTGCATTATGTATGATAAAGCTAAAATGTGGCAGTCATAAAATCCTTTGCATACAGATCTTAGCATACTATCAAAAACAAGTGAATTACTGGTTGAAATAATTTATTGTGCGGCTCAAGTTCTTCTGAAACATAAAGGCAAGTTTTATTTTAATTAACTGTTCAGAAATCATGTTAATTCTGTAAACGTGAAGAGGAAATTCCCTGCAATACCAGATATTGTAGGGGCTCAGCAGCTGCGTTCTGTGTGTTATTTTTATGGGGTAACACAATTTTGGCACATAGTATCTTAATGTGTTACAATTTTGCCCTGCAAAAGTAAATATTTTACCCATAAAACCTCTGAAGACACCAAGAAATTCAAAATTAAAGTCTCATCAGTTATTCTTTATACTAACTAAAACGAATAGGATTTACAAAATTAAAGAAATGGAACAAGGAGACAACTATATCTGATGTTGAAGCATATTTTAACTTACATTTGAAAAAATGGTATGACAAAAATGCACTCTAACTTTCAGAAAGGCTGCCAAGGTGATACGACAACCAGTGCCCTGTGCAAGAGCTACTTGCACACAGTGGACTGACACTGGTCTAGTTCAATTCCACATCAGTCATCTAACAGAGTTTTTGTTCATAATTCAGTGTTTTATTTTGCTTACTTTAGCTTTTGTCCTACCAATCTTACAGTTTCACAGATTTTTCTGAGGAGACGAAATAATTTTATCTTTATCACTTCCAAGAGCTTAAAAAAGGCATTAAAAAATTTAATTCATGACAAATTCCACTTTCCTTCTAGCATATATATCTCCTGGTGAAAATTGTTTGAAACGGTTAATTGTCCTGAAGAAGAAAAGAGTATGCTACTAACTAACTATGGTTAATTATCTTCCCAAAATTTTCAATTACAACCACTTTCTTTAACCTCTAGATCCTCTCCTATAAAAATACTGTGTTTCAGGTCAAAAACACTATGCACTCTGGAAATCTTTTACTCAGATTGCTTGCTTTCTGTCTTCACCAATACCTATTTTTTCCAGAAACATTTTCTGATTCAATGAAAAGTCCATTGAGCAAACAAATTCATAGTATGATTGAATACAGTCAGTTATGCTTCCACACATATGGTGATTATGTTCTCCCACCAAATTGATGATCACATGCTTTGCAACAACTAAAACACTTTTGAGTGCACCCAGATGACTCACTGAAAGCTGGAGTAATGCATGTACTCAAATGCATTTAATTTGGGTCATGATTTATCAGGTAGAGGGTGTCCTGAATAGTGCATTTTGTGGTAGTGACACACAAGGTAGTTCTTGTTTGGTCAGCAGAAGATTACATATCAGGATGAAAAGTTATGTGTTCTGCTCTGTGCCGAGAAATATAAATTTATCCCTTTATCTGAAAAGTACATAATACTTTATTGATGCCACTGCACTAAAAACTGTAGTCTTGATTTTTCATGCTAACCTCAGAAACTCAGCTTATCAGGATTGGCATAGGCAAAAAAAATATGTTTTGCTAAAGTCTACCTCAGAGCCTCTTTCAAAAAGCTTTACTATTTTCCCTTGGTAATTTTTGTACATTTTCCTACTTTGCTTCCACAGAAATATGATAGCTTTCTAGCTGTTTTCAGAACTATGTCAGTGGAGCTGTCTCTCAGACTTCATATCACATAAAGATGCTCCTGGTGTTGAAACTATATAATAAACTAATTTGCTTCCATGAATATCAACTACAGTAAACTTAATTATTCATCCCCTAGAGACCACATTACAATCTGTTTGAAGAAAGACATGCTTCCTCTCACAAAGAACTCAGTGGATTACGATCTACTTGGAAGAGACATTTTCTTCCTGTCATTGAGATGTCTCCTCAAAGATGACTGAGAAATAAAGGGTTGATATTTTCCATGACTATCACATAGTAGTAATACGAGAAAAATATTATTTAAATATCTTTTGCCATTCCTTTCATGTACTACTGCAGCTGGGACTTCCCAATCAGCTGATGAGCTAGGACCTTCAGATGAAATTCTTTTATAGCCATAATCAAAAATCACTCTGGAATTTACCACCATGCAGATTCAGCAACTTCACTGTGACTCAGGGAATTAAAACCAAATATCCTAATTTAAGAACTTGTTATTTTGATTAAAAACCAGCTGCATGTGCATCAGGAATAATACACTGGGAGGAACAGGATGTTGCATAAAAGGCATTAATTGTTTCCAAGTAAACTACACTCTGGAGAGATGAGTTAGGGGTGGGGTCACTAAGGATGTGAGGAAGGCTTGAGGATGTATAGCCATAATTTTTGGAAAACAACATTTTTAGAACATTGTAAGCTTTATTTGTTTCTCTTAGCAGAGAGCCAGTTTCAGGCCTGCTGACATATAAGGGATTGTGAATTAGGATATAATTGACTTAAAGTACCAGTGACTTTAACAGTAATGCCAAACACACATTTTTAAGTCTTTATTACCAGTTGGCTCTTGCCAACGATGTGTATGGGTCTATGTCTCTCATAATACAAAGGAAAATATGAACTGACTGAAGCAATGGGAATGTTACAATTGACACTAAAGGAAGCAAATTCCATAGTATATAATCACAATAGAAATGTTCCATGTTCAATTCATTTTGGTAATCCAGTTTGTGTATTCACCTAGTTAAATTATTTTCCACATTACAGTGGAACTTAAGTATGGTTTCCAGAAGCACAACACTAATTCAGATGTAAAATGATTTCTTCTTATACACTATGAATATCTAAAATAGAGGTCGTTTCATTAAGTTTCGAAAGCTAAGGCCATCAGTTTGTTGCCATATTACTTTTACTACCAATGCAATGTTACACTGTAAAACTGTATGTTTTCATCTATGCAGAATTTACCTCAAATCTGCTTGTAAAATAATTTAAGTACATCAACGGCTGAGAGAGATAGGCCTGTTTAGCCTCTAAAAGAGATGAATGAGAGGGGATCTTATCCAAGTATACAGATATCTTAAAGGTGGGTGTCAAGAGGATGGAGCCAGGCTCTTCTTGGTCGTGCCAAGCAATAGGACAAGAGGCAACAGGCAGAAACTCATACACAGGAAATTCCACTTGTATATAAAGAAGAACTTCTTTCTGTGACTGTGACAGAGCACTGGAAGAGATTGCCCAGAAAGGTTATGGAGATATTCAAACCCATCTGGAGGCAATCCTGTACAACCTGCTTTAGCAGGGGGGTTGGACTAGATGACCTCCAGTGGTCCATTCCAACCCCAACCATTCTGCATGTGATTCTGTGAAATAAAGTTTTTGAAATTTTTTATTTTATCAGTGATATTTAAAAAGGTTATCTATTCTAACTAGAGTTAATATCAGGAAAAAATAATGCAAGATTCAACACAACAAAACCTACCTGAAATTCCAGGCCATAGTTTTCCCTGCAGAATTCTCTCAGCTTAGGATACACATGTTCTCTTAGGGCGCCCCTTTCTGCTATTGTATCTGTGTTGGGGAAAAAGATGTTATTAACAATATTTATATAAACGCTGTTCTTTTAGTCAGGCTTACAGATTTATCCCATAAAAAAGAGCCCTTAACACATACACACAGAGAGTGCTTTGGAAATCAAGTGCTGGGATTTAATCCCCAAACTGTACATTGTACAAACACATGGAAGCGTTTGCATGTGCAACAGCACATGTAAAAACACGTGTTTGTATTTGGCAAAATTGTGCTTCATACATATCTTGTATTGCAGCCTATTTCAATACAGTGAAGCTGAATTAATATCGTAATTCAGCAGTCAGAATTTCTTTATCAGTTTGACTTCTATTTAATTTTCAGAAAGCTGAATTTTACAAATAAGGAATACCATAGAACAAAGAGATATACCAAAGATGAAAGAGATCTCAATACTAGAAATAAACTGATAACATGAATTAATTATATTGTTTCAAACACTATCACTTTCTTCACCGTCTTTAATCCACTAGTATCTTAAAAACATTATTTATCATTAATAACATAATTTACAGGATCTTATGGCCCAGATGATTCCTCCTATAATACTAAATGCACAGTTCTGATATCACATTACTCTCACCATGCAAAATGACATGTATTTTGATAATGAAGTACAATATGGCAATGACACCAAAATTTTTATTAAGTTCTGTCTAAGTTAATCTAAACACATTTATGTAAAGCATATCCCTCACACATACTGTCAAATGTGAAGTGAATTTGGTTAGTAATGAAATCTGTTGTAGATAATAAATTTTGTTCTCTTTCACAATAAGACTAAGATATGTCATGGATTTTGCTAAATTGTAATCAGTGTCAACTGAGTTGAGATCAAAAAGGATGGTACTGTTGCTAAGTTATTTTCAAAAATAAACCACAACTGTTGTAAACCCCTAGCTTTGAGTGCCATGTGATGAAAAATGAAGTGTTAACTTATGAATGATGAAGAATATCTGAAACAAAACAATAGATTAAAACTGATTTGACATTTCTCATATTGTTGCAAATGAGAGACATGTATGCAAATCTAACAATGCTTTAGAGCCACAATCAGAGACACAGCTGATATATCTAAGTCAGAGGTCTGTTCATAGAATCATGGCCACACATTTATAATGGGTTTTATTTTGAAAAATTCTAGGAGATGGTGAAAACTGTAATTCGATTTATTAACAATGTAATATTATCCTTCTTACTATTTAAGTATATCTTTGAAATATTACACAAATGTGTGGGATAATTACCATTTATTTTCATAAACAGAAAGCAATCCAGAACACCTCCAGAGAATTATTTCTTGTGAAATTTTCATTAAGGTAAAAAAGGCTATACCACAAAGGCTGAAAAGTACAGTCAGGATTTTAATTCAATTTATCTGAATTACAGCAGTTCTTCCTTCACAAACTTTTGATGAAGAAAAAAGTCAAAGATGTAGTAGTTTCCATAAAACATCCTCTGTAAGTGCAAGAATATAATATTATGTATTTGTGACTTTATGTTTTAGAATGTACTAACTATGCTTATGTGTTCTGAAGATAATGGTCCAAGAAGCATTGTCAAGTCCTTCCTCCATCACAAGCTTTCTGTTGGACTGCCTGCACACCACTCAAGGCAAGATTCTAAATCTGAAGTGCAGAGCTTTTCTAATCCAACTTGAACACTGCAAGTAAGAGCCCCTGCTCTGTGCTACACTTGGATGAGTGTGGCCTCACTTCCCCTCTTCTCACTTCCTCTCAGGAGGTTATTACACTCCTCTTCTTGACACTGAAGAGGCTGCACTAAGAGTGCTGCACCCAGCACATCCAAATCAGGAGGATGGGGACAAAACTGGAGAGCCTACTGAGATAGAAGCCACAAGCATGTGGCCTACAAGGAGAGATTGGGGAATTTGGTATGTTTAGACCAGTGAAGACTGTAAGAGGGGCCTAATCACAGCCTATAATTACTTCTAAGGCATTTACAAAGATGATGGAGCCAAGCTCTTTGTGCCAGTGTCAGAGAGTACAACAAAAGCAACAGCAACATATTACATCTTGGGAAGTTCAGGTTGGACACTAGGAGAAGCTACTGTGTCCTTGGAGTTCTTCAAGACTCAAATACACAAGTTCATGGTTGACCGAGTTTCTGTTGACAGCACTTCAAGAGGAAAGTTAGTCACAGAATCACAGAATATGCTGAGTTTGAAGGGACTCAAAAGGATCATTGAGTCCAATTCCTGGCCCTTGTACAGTGCCTGGGAAGATTTTTGCTACTGTCTGGGCTAGTGGGAGCAAAACTGTAGAGTAAAATAGCTGGTGCCAAGGACATAATGTCCGTGACATATGTTTTTCAGGAGATTTTACTTTGGATTGAGCTCAACCCTTACAAACATTTAGAGTGCATTAGGTGAGTTCCTGGAGTTATCTTCCTGTTTTTCATCTGAAAGGAACCCAATGCATGCACACCAAGACCACTCTGTGATGTGAGTCAAAGTATATTAGACAGTGATGATCAAGAGATTCACCTCATCTCCAGATCTGGATGAATACAGACATACTCTATAAACATTTAGGAATGGGGTGAAAAAACCAGCATGCTCAGCCCAGAACTGCCTGTGTACTAACATAAGGAAACAGAGGGATGGATGGGTCTCTCCCTCCTTAGGATCCACAGTCATTAATTTTCTCTCATACTTTAGTGCCTAAGTCGACCTTTTCTTGCAGAATGTAGTATACAGCTAACAAGGCCAATTAGCTAGAGGGTTGCATGGTGCCAACACAGCAATACTATTTTGGCTCCAAAGCCACAACATTTCTCAGTGCTATTTTAGAGTCACTTTACTGCACGGTGTTGCTGTACCTTGTGATAAAAGCTATCTGTGTAGTTGGCTTCATTTGATATACTTCACTTTTTTTAACTTCACAGTATCTGAGACCCTTAGATCAGCCAGTGATATAAGACTATATATTCTATACTTTGCCTCAACAGAGGTTAATTTTGGCATGCAAGTCTGTGAAACAGTGTGTCATATCTTCATGATTAAGTAGAACAAACTGTTAAAACCAACTTGTAGTAACTTACTACTCACTTACTGAAGTAAACCAAAATGATTCATGCCTTTTTAAAGGGAAATCAATCATGACTACAACTTCATTATTAAGGAGGCAAGAATGCAGAGTTATTATTTGCAGTTACTTAAATGTGACAGTAGACTGAACAGTATTAATAGGGATCTAAAATAGGCTAAGGTGCAGGAACCAAAAAAAAAGAAGTATTGAAAAAAAAAGCAGAATTTAAGAGGAAACATGATTAAATGATAAATGAAAAATATTTTGCCTGAGGTTTACAACAGATAAAACCATATTCTGCTACTTTCCTTTTATGCCCATAGGATTTATACTGCAGAACCATGCTAGCTCTAGTTTTAGAACATGGTGCTGTTCCCTGAAGCATAATGTGTAGAGTCTTGTTCAGAAAATTAAACAACACACTGCAAGAGTAGTGCTACATTTGTAATATCTTACAAATGAAATAGATAAAACATTCCTTCAACTAGAACTGTGTTCTAGATAAGACACTCAGCATACCCATCCTGTGTTTTTATTCCTACCTTCATTATCTAATGGAATTTGAGTCTGGTGCTTATATTAAAAATTTTAAAAAATTCCTGTATTTGTAATAGATTGTGAAACTTTAAGGAAACAGAAGTGCATATAGTTAAGATGAACTATGGTAATTAGTATGGATGGCAGATAAGCTGCTTTAATTAAATATAATCTAACTTGATTTAAAGTGACAGCAAATCTGTGAAGCTGGCAGTTCCTAACAACAAAAATGTCACACAGGCAAATTCCACCTTCCAGGCTGCTGCTGCAGATGAATGGATTAACTAAATTACATTCTTCTAGCAGTCCAAAAGAGACAGTAGTTGTGAGATGAGCTTTCTACACCTCCTAATGTTAATTGTGAAACTCAGAAATACAAATGATAGTCCACAATAAATTATGGGAATGAAATTACATCTGCAAAAACATAAGACAAAACTTAAAAAAAACACCAACTCTAAACTTCTTTCCAGCATTTAAATGAAACCAAAACCCAACAGTCCTGTGCAAGACAGTGACTTGCTGAACACACATCATCCATACAAGAGTTAACTCTTGTTGCCTCCTAAGCCATTCCATAACCACAGTGTCCTGCCCGCCCCTACACTTTAAGCTGACTGAAAATGTCAGTGCAGCCCTCCTTGTCCTGATACTCCCCAGTGTAATGCTGAGGATGAACTGAATTAGTCACACATGCATCTACCTCCTTTCTGCTGTCTGTTTAAACATGACTGTGTGCAGCGTGATTTCTGAAGGCTTGTAGCTCAGTCCAATCAATGTCAGTTTCCATCAGAGTACGCCATGGCACTGCTTCTCAGCATGAACTATTTCCATGCCAAAATCTGACCTTCAAACCCTTCTGCTATTAAAGCCACTTATTTTAACAGAGAAAGTACATTTTACATTCTTGTGTTAGTAAATAGATGATATGTATTTACAAAGGGTTTTCAAACATTAATCTCTGGGATAAAATAAGTCATGGAACATAGCCTTGTTGAAGAAAATTTCAAAATGAATATGCAAATGAACTGAAAGAGTTATCACGTAAGCCTGATGGAAATTGCTCATTTTCAAGCACCAGTTATTCTGTCCTAAGACCAAATATTTCATCTTCTTGCTAGTAGTTGTGCCGGTCTGAGTTCAGCCACAGTGGTTGGGATGGCTGTTTTCACGTACATGGGCTGCAGTCACACAACTCTTACTCCATCTAGGCTTGATGCAGCTAAACAGGAGGTTGCTCAGCCTCATTCGCCTACCCTGTGTTGTGCAGGGGGTGCCCATGTGGGGACTATGAGCCCCACTTGATCACTTTCAAGGGAGCAGCACATTCAAGTTGACAGTCTGTTCACAGAAACGTAACTGAATAACCTTACCTATGCATGACGCAAGCTAAGG